GAGAGAGAGAGAGAGAGAGAGAGAGAGAGCAAAGGGGTGAACACATACGGCGGATCTCATTGCTGGGTATCGCGAAATACAGGGTCACGTTGTCGACCAGCTGTAGGTAGAAAGACATGCCCAACACTTTGCCGTCGACGGCGTCCAATAGTGGGCCGCCATAGGAGTCAAAGGGAATATTTGCCGTGTGCTGTATGTAACTCGTTTTGGGTGTGATAAAGCCGTACTTCTTGCCAATCTTGGTGATCTGGGCGCCGGTGCGGTTCGCACAGCTGACTACGCCGGCGGTGGCAATGTTGTACTGCCCGCTGTACACCTGTAGCACATCGCGCGTTGGCAGCAAATCTTGTATTACTTTGTCGGCCACAAAGTCCATGGGTTGAACGGCTTGGATGTCCGGGCACTCGACCAAAGCCATGTCCAACTCGGGCTCCCGGTACCTGACGTGACACCAGGCGCACTTGTTGCTGTCGGCGGTGCCCACAATCACGTACTTAGCGTTGCCTACGGCCCGGGCGGTGGTCACCACGTAATTCATTCTATCCGTTTTCACTATAAACCCGGTGCCGGTGCTCAGTATCTTATATGGTTTGGCCGGCTCTGCGGTCGGCGCAGTCTCTGGTACAGCGCCCTCGTATACGCGCTGTTCAACGGCTACCAAACCCTTGAAGGCCTGTCTAATAAGACCGGACGGTTCCTCCATACGAGCCTGTCTTAGGCCCGACACCGCCGGCCATCCCGTGCCGAGTGACCCAAACAAGTACTTTGGCTGTAAGTCCGCCGCTAGTGGTCTGTCGTCCGTCCGGTTGTGTCGCCGCCAGCGGTTGGCGCCGACCATCGATAGCGAGACCAATACCGGAGTCCTATTGTGTGGATTGGGTTTGAAATGAATGTAAATATCGGTTAAAACAGTTATTTAGTGAACATATTGTCAACGGATCCACACCTGAGATGAGTAACAGAGAGTAAGACTCTGTAGTAATGCATGGCTTAAGACTCGTCTCAATTGAACACTTGATTTGTTGATCAGAAACTGATTGATAGTCTTTGTGGTGAAGAAATCAATTAATGAAACAGTGATTAGTTTTTGTGATCAAAATAATTTAAATTTAATTTTAATAATGTTTACCGATTGCGAGACTTTGGGGTTTATTATAACTTGTAATACAAATAAATGCAAAGTAATTGTAATTATTTTGTAGTGCTATAGATATGACAAAAGTATTGTTAAAATGATTTATTTTGATTTGAGTTGTATGTTGTAATTATTAGCTAAAAGTTTGTAAAACATTTTGTCAGTTATAATAGAAATTATGAATTAAAATTAATGGCAACTTATTTTAATAGTAAAACAAAAATCAAATTTAAGTGTATTTATTAAATACAAATTAAAACAAACAAAAATACAATAAAAAGTATATTTACAAACAAATTGAATATAAAATAAAAGTTAACAAAAACCGAAAAAATAAATTTCTCAATAAGCAAACTAAACGTTAAACAAAACTAAAATTACAATTACTATTAAAAACAACAAATAAAACACAAAACAAAAATTGAAACTTGAGATCAAACACACCCACACAATTAGAGGGGTCGTCAGGGGTGGGGGTGACTAAAACTACTGATTGAATTGGGTCTTGGGATCGGGTACTTTGGCCCCTTTAGGCGGTGGGTTCTGTTTGGGAACACCACTGGGACCCGGTTTGTCGCCTGTCACCTGCTGTTGCTTTTCATAACGTTTAGGACCACTGTTGCCCTGTTTGTCAGGCGACCCGTCTCCCCCTTTGCCCCCAATAGTAACGTCGGTTATCTTGTCCCTACCCTTACTATTTCCCTTACTATCAAACTGCTCATCGATTTTGAACGCCCTGTTTATAAAGTCTGTTGAATGACAATTCAATTGTGATTAAAATTAATGACTCAAACACTAGTGTTTGTGAACGGGTTTTATAAGAGTGAGTGAGTGAGGGAGAGGGAGAGGGAGGGAGAGAGAGAGAGAGAGAGAGAGAGAGAGA